AACTCAGCTTCGCCCTGGAAGAGTAATCTCGGGGTCTCCAAAACCACGCACTCAAAGGGAAGTTTCGGGATCTCCAAAGGCACGTGCTGAGGGAATAGTTTCGGGATCTCCAAAAGCGAAACCTGTCAACCGTTCTCCACAACTGGTACACTTTCTTTCTCTCGGAGTAGAAGCCGAATCGCGTTTTTGGCCCCAGTTTTTCCACCTTTTCCGAGCCATGGGCGTGCTGATCACAAGTATCAACTTTGATTACCGTGAAATGTCAAAACAGATTTTAGGGTTTTTTGGACTGACGGGACGAGTTAAGCGGTGCGCTTTCAGTATCTTAACTTTTAGTTCTGAGATCGCATGCCTTTTCTCTAGAAAGCGTTGCTGATGAAAGAAGCACAACAGGTTCAATATTGAAGCGGAAAATCTCTCTTCTTGTTTATAGTTTGACGTTAACATATTGATATTGTTGTCCAGCACACCAAATTGGCCTAAAAAGGGTGAAAACCTCGGAGTCGTAAATTTTCGATTGCCCGGACACTGCCTATCGTCCAAGGAATTTTATGTCGAGAATAAATTACTACAGTCTGGGGACAGATCAACTTGCCACTTTCTGAACAGCTTAGAACACGATTTTAAGTGTTTCGTTAGTCGTGCTAGACTATGGCGAGTTGGCAGAAAAAAAAAAGAGTTAGCTTTATGATGGCTTGTGTCCTATCTCCCTTTTCTCTTCACCTTAAAAGCTATTTGGATATAATGCAGATTGCGCAACAACGAACTCCACCGTTTTTCTTTTCAGTGGAACGGGTATCTTTACAGATCTATCTTTTTCGATTTTAAGTCATTTGACGATGGTTCCGACGGAGAAATGTGTGGACAGGAGTCAGTGCGTTATCTTTCACCAGAAGAAATGGAATTGGAAAATTACAACAGAAGTTTTGCTGGATCTCCTGTTGCTCCCACCCCCGGTAATATTAGAAAGGTGCGGCTGAGCTTTACCGTTTGGTCGACGTAAGCTTATCACTACTTATTTATCCCCTTATTTTGCGCTCACCAGTTTTTACGTC